TTTTTACTACATGTGATTCACACAGAAGATCCAAAAGACCCAAAGACTGTTTATACGCCAACGTATAAAGCGATTGAAACTTCTATAAAAAGAATCTTGATCTGACACTTAATTTAGTTAAAATATATTATTTTTACTTGTGAAATATTCCACCTAATAGCAGATCAACAACAACAACAAAAGCAGTAACACCAGAAACCACTCTTTAATCAATGATATTTTATGGAAGAAGGACTGAACCAGGTTCGTAGCACCCAAGTGTACCCCTAACTTATTATGGATATTTTCATTGAAACACCGGTTAAGCGCCACTCCTCTTCCCTTTTACACACACGCATGCTGACACTGTGACACATTTTGCTTCCAAATGGTTATAGTATCCTTATTTTTTTTTACTGTCAAGGAGAGAGAATGCACCCATACCATTATCACGAAATACATTTTTTTTTTACGTTGAGACAGTTTTTCATTTATATATTTTTTGCATGTCAGATTTTTCAAGCAGTTTTGTTTTCGAAACGTTTTATTTTGTTTGTTTGTTAATTATATTTTGGCTGCCCCACTTTCAAAAACGAGACTTCTTGTTATATAAAATTCACGGTACATATTATATAGCAATACATGTACAAATTAGTGTTGAATGAGATTTGAAATGCAATGTTACCCCCCCCCCCTTCCCCTAAAATGATATTTCATTAATGCATATATTAATGCATATATCATTTCCTCAATGCTCTCTGGCTCGAACTTTTAATTCTCATTCTTATTAAATTTACCTGTGATTCAAACTTCTATCCAGGTTGTGTACAAACGATTTTTTTTAAATTTACTTTTTAACCTCTTTGCGTTTATTGACCTTGGGTCCGTTTTACAAAAGAACTTAGTACGATTAAGACCAACAATTTTAGCTGTTTCTTACATCATGCTAAACTAATATTTTAGTGAAAAAAAGTGTCTTCTAAAAACGTATTTTTTAAGATTCAAGTTATCTTGCATCTTAGTCGTAAATTCCTTTGATATGCATATGAGCATTACTATTTTCTCTAATTTGCATGTCCGTGTAAAAAAAAATGCTTGCATTTTATTTTTCAATGTAAAGTTTAAATGTAATTCCATTGCCGCGATGTTTAATTCATTCTTGATAAAGATTGATAATATTGATATCGTAATTCACTTTAAAACAAATGAAATGATTTGGACTTACATAGGCCTAACCATGCCCCCCCCCCCCCGTCCATAAATTATAACTACAAACTCCTTTGATTAAGGATGCAAATAAGAAACTAATAAAGTGAGTGATTAGGAAGGAAGTTTTAGACAGTTTCTATCTGGCATATACTCTAACCTTTGCGTCTTTCAAGAACTGTCAAATAATTTACTGTCGCCCGTTTTGGGTTTTGGATGTTAGTATTCGGGAACTTCCGTGATTAGAGAATTAAGGGGATGAAGGACACATGGTCACGTGACTTTGTTAAACTACGTCATAGTCTCCATTTATATAAGTGCAAAACGTATAAAGCATCAGTTCTTGTATAAATTTTTGACATTTTTTTTCTTTAATTACCATCTTATATTAAAAAAATAAAAAGTTTAACATTCTTGTAAACATTAACAAATTATGAAAAAAGATTGATCCACTCCTCTGTTTCTTTAAACTGCGCGTCCAACAAGTCGGTGACGTCATACACGATCTGCTAGTACAGCAAGATCATACTCGGTGAATACAAGGGCAGTATTATTATGTAAAAACAGGTCATAATCAGTATATGATGAAGTATTTTGAGAAACGGGGAGCACAAAAATTATTTTTGCATGGCTGATGACGGAAATCTTATGTAGGTATATCTTATTTCGCTTATTTAGCTTACGTGTGACGTCATAGTTGGTTTTTCCCGTACTCGAGAAATGTAAACATGACAAGTTTTTGTCCTGCTTATGTCATCTTTAACGATGTCCTGTGAAATATTGAGGTCAGCTTCACCATTCGAAATTTTTACAGTTAATCAATAATTTGAAGGACTTGTATTTCAACGTAAATTTAAAAATATTGAATGATAGGATTTTTTGTAAATTACGTTTTTGTTGTTTAAGTTGTCTTAAAAAGTTCGTAATTTTCCCTATCCAGATGCAGTGTGATATATGAAACTTGCCTTTTCGAATTTTAAACCCAATTCATAGTCTGAAATATTTTAAAAGATACATGTTCACTTACATATTTTTTATATATGCTTTAAAAATCCAATTATGGACAGAGTAATGAGCCCAGAAACATGGAGGATTAAAACTCCACTTAGATACTGTAGGGCATAATATTTGTCAATCAATATCTCTAAAATAAGGTAAGAAACCTAATGATATAACTGCTTTAAGATATGTGGGACATACTGAATAAGAAATATGCAAAATATAAAAAAGAATTGAATGACAAGTAATTTTTCAGCTAAAGGTCCTTCTTCCCCTTAAATGAGCGAAATTTGAAAGAAAATAATTATTTAAAAATATAAAATTGACGAAAAGTTGTTACCAGAGGATTTTTATCATTATATAAGAATTATCTGGAGAGAAGAGGGTTCTCAATTCAGCTGGTAAGCATTGCATATAACTTTTAAAAGGAAAAATTCGTGTCGGGGGCACGGAAAGGGGTGAAGGTAGTTGCAAGCCTTGTTTCTTTTTAGTATACAGTAGGAATATGTCATTCTTAAAACGTGCATATTATCAAATTTCTGTGGCAGCCTAGTGTTTATCAAGCAGAAAGATTTACAAAAAACTAAAAATTACCACTGTGCGCTTAAAAAAAATGTTACGAATACAGTTCGAATTTCCTCGACAATACATTATATAGAAAAGATACATTATCCTTGACCCAAGCGCCTATGATCAGATAGTTGCTTGTCATTCACATTATCACAGTTATGTATTTTTAAAACTCGGTCACTTAACTATGACGTCATACGACGTAGGCTCTACGTTAAGTCATGTTTATACATGTATGTATAAGTAAAATGAATAAGTATAACCGCATAGACTTTAATTTTTCATTTAACGGGATTTAAACTGACAAAAAGGTGTATAGATTAATAAGGATGGTTAAAGAAAGGTAGAGTTTTGGACATCATAGAAAGTTTACAATTTTTAAAATATTTTAGAAATTTATTATTCGCATCATTTACAACCAAAATAAGTCCAAAAATATATACCAATCCATTTTTTGTATCATCTGTCCATAAAAGAAATCACCCTTTTTGCTCTTTAGAATTGCTCTGTAGTTATTTTCTAAGGGCCTGTGATGGGGATAAATTTAGCAAGCCAAAAGGGGCAAAATTAAGACATCGTTGTTTAAGATGAATACTAGTATATTAAGAAGAAAAAAATTATTTGTTAATTGGGTTTAAGGGCAACATCTTTGAGGTGTGTTCCTCGAACGTCTACTCACCAAAACCAACATCTAGTTATCACACTCAATTAGGGTGCCCTCTAAGGGGTTCAAGTAGAGTTTACCTGTATGAGCAAAGTATCTGCAAAGTACTCAAACTGTTTGCCTAGGGCCGGTAGGAAACATTTTGATTTGAGGGTTCGACAAAACGCAATCTGGCAGAGAACTCCGTCATTTTATGATTTTTTAAAAGTACACGTAACTTCTGAATACCAATGTATGCAAAATAGATATATAGCTTGTTGAATCGGATGTCAGATGACATTTTCTAACCTGAAGATAAACGAATACATATAAAGTGTGACTAAAAAACGTCATACCGGTCTAATATTTCAGAGACCGGTCAAACATCTCGCCAACCGGTACAATATCTCACCGACGGATCAAAAATCTTTTTTCTTTTTTGTTTTTGGACGCTCATGCTGCAAATCAATGAAAAATAATGCTCTAATTTTTTAGTATGAGGGTCATTCCTCCATTTAATCCTATGTAAAAGTTGGACTATTTTAAATGAGTTTTTCACATTTCTTTATTTCATTATTTGTTAAAAGTAACGCAAAAACTGGAAAATTGACAAAATAAAATTTTAGAATTAGTACCATGGCCCATACAAATTTTGTTTGATTCTCCAAAGTATTAGGTTTCATAAAATAACAGGTTTCATAACCTAAAAACCTAATTTTGTGAGATTTTTTTTGTCTGACCTAAGATACTGCTTCACTCCTTTATTGTACATGTGCGCAGAAAAGTTGAAAAAAAGTTGCGATCTCAAGTTCCTCCCAAAAATTTAAATTCTGGTAGACCGAGGATTTCGGTACAATCTTCGAAAAAGATCAAAATATATTCCGTACCTTTGCATGCACGACTTCAATATTATTTACGAGTTTTACGCTATAAATAAAAAGACTTGTTCTTAACATGGATGAAACATGTAACAACAATGCGGAAGATACAACCTTTACAGTGCAGGTGAATTTGTCAAAACTTTGCTCATATTTTTGATAATTCTTTCGATTTATGATAAAATATCATAAAAGAAATATATTAAGTTGACTCATCATTTCTCTTTAATTAACACCCTCCTTTCAAAACACAATTTTCCTTAACACAGTGATGATTCTTGTAATGTTTTGATGAAATTGATCACGTAGTTTTTGAGAATTTAAAGATGTACACAATTTACATATGGTCGACCAGAAAAGCAATATATGATGGGGTGAGTATGAAACACCGGTTGAAGAAAAAAAATGATGTAATTTTGATGGATGAAGAAATTTAATGGTAAAACACACATCCCAAGAAGATGGTCAAACTTAAAATTTTAAAACAGCCAAAAAGCTTTCAAGACAAAACCATTCAAGTTTGATTTTGATCCAGCAAACAGCTGACTTTCACAGTTACCTTGACCTTTACCTCGCACTCTCCTCCTAAAAAAGCATACATCATCTAAAAGCCTTAAAAAACTGTACATGAAGTAAAGACAATTTTCTCTATGATAGCATCCCCTTTCTCTATGATAGCCTCCCCTCCCCCTCCTTTTATACCCGATCATTGTCTGTATACATACTTAATGATTCTGGTAGGGGTTCATATATCGGATCACAATTCCAATACGCGATACACATGAAGCCGCTTTCCCCGACTTCTGTTACCCTATTCTGTCGTTCCTCCCATCGAAAAGCGATTCGGGTGTTCCGCCATACGACTACCCACTTCCATTCGAATTTTACATTAGCAGGTAGGTGGACTGAAACTATCCATTTTCCGGAGTTTTCTGGCTTTTCATCTGTAAAATAAAGATTTATTTTTGTCATTTTCCTTGTGTTGGAGAGGACAATCTAAGTTGGAATAACTTGTGTCCAATCCCATTGATTATATGTATCAATAAAATATGTTCAAATCAAAGAATTGTAAAGGCCAGTGAACATTAAGAGTGAACAGTCCAGCTCAAGGAACTAAACCTTAAAGAAATGATATGATCTTTGATTAAACGCAGATTGCTCATCACGGCCAATCAAAGTTTTTCTGCATTGTACCCAGGATTGTTATAAAAAATTACAATATGTTTCTTCGCATCAAAAAATTAACCCCAATCGATTATCAAACTCCGGAGTCAAGGAATATATGAATTATTTAGGGAATCGCTGTCTAGGTTGTTGAGTATGCCAGGGCATGTGTCATTTATCTTGTATAACGGACGAAGAATGTTATTTAAAAATTATCCCGGGTTTCAAACTGCCGTTACTAAGTAAGCCCGAGGAACATTAACTGGCAAGATTGGAAATGTGCAGCTTACGTCATTTCCATCTGTTTGGAGTCAAAACACTTGATGATAGACAATGAAATGGGCGGGTACAATTCGGCGCGGGCTTCTGAGAAAACACTGGATTAAAATCCTAGTTTGAAGTTCATTTTCAATCCGTCTCAGCTGAGTCAATATCAAAAAAACCCAGAAATAAAATCTCAAGAAAGTCAAGAATTTTCTTGCGTTCAAAATTATTTTTTTTTAATTGTTACAATAACACATATCTCAAAATCACTAAACTCAAACCTAGAAATTATTTGATTTCAGAGTAAGAAGAGGTCAAAGAACTGGTTCGCCTAAAATTTTGTCCTTCCTCTTACAGATAAAAAAAAAATACAAGTTTCACCGTTAAGAGGTACAAAAAATATTATAAAATTTGTTCATACTAGATTGTGAAAGCATGAAAAATAAAATACCAGTAATATTTTTTTAAATGAAACAGAAGCAACATAATTTTTACAATGATTTTAGAGACATTTTTTAAAACTGAACAACATTATGTACAATATTTTCACCATTTTACAGTCATAAGTTAGTACGAAAAACAACATGCGCACATTTGATTAGAAATGGCATTTCAGATATACATGTAGATCCAATCTTTTAACAATCATATATAAACAACATATTTTTATAATTATAGTGCCTGTAACACGAATTTAGACAGGCCAATAACAAGAAAGACAGTATTTTGCAACAGACATGTCTCTCCTGTTACAGAATCCTAATTCTTGTTTAGAGATGACTGGAAAGTGATATAGATTAATTTCAAACTATATGTATTTGGGAGTTGATTTATCTTTTAGATCATACATTAACAAATAGCGTATGAAAATAGCTCAGGTGGATTGAAAATGAATTTCAAACTAGTATTTCAGTCCAATGTTTTCTCGAACGTCCGTGTCAAATTGTAGCGGCCCATTTAATTATATAATCATCAAATATTTTGACGGTAACAGATGAAATGAACACTGCGACATTTAAGTCCGGACACGACATAGTCCGGACTTTTAGGTACCCTTTCGAAAAGACATAATTTAAAAATTTTCCTGGATTTTGGTGGGATTTTTTATTCTCATCTCATCATGTCAATCTTAACTTCTACAATGTTGTAGTTTTCTTATAAACTTCTCCCAAAACTTAAAATCCCATGGGAGAATGGGGGGATTTTTCATCCCACCTGAAATCTTATAACGTAAGCTGCATGTTCTGTGATCTTTATGTCTCTGGCATACCCAACTAACTAGACAGTGATTCCTAACATTATTACTTACATTGTGAAATAAAAAGGTAAATATAAATAACAAGAGGCCCAAGGGCCTTAACGGTCACTTGAGTATAATGCAACAATGTAGAGGATTCTTAGGGTATAAAATAAACTGATAGATGAAGCTTTGCTGCCAAAAGCAAGAGAAATAGGTTGATCAGGATCAATGAAATAATCAGTCTTGTATTTAGTACCAACTCTTAAATTAAGTTCTAATCTGTCCCTCATTTATCACTCTCATCATACAGACTATTAACAAAGTATTAGTGTTTTTGTATTATTTTAACCCCTTATTATAACCTCTTACATTGGCCTCTCTTGGTCTTTGAAGAACATTTAATGAAATAAGATATTTTTGTCTCATTTTATTTATCTATTATTTTAAAGTCTACCTGATCAATAAAACTATTGAAGTACTTTTTGTATTATACAATAAAATTCTTGCACAATTCTTTTATTGATTAATTATCAAAAGTGAATGGCAAAGGGAATATTTCCTCTCAGTAGAATCCAAATTAATAGAGTAGGACCAGAACACTTGACAAAATGGTAGAGATGTTCAAAAATCTGGTAAAAATACCGTTGTTACTTATTAAAACCTTGACTCTGTTTGCCTCCAGTATGCCCAGGAGCAGAGATTTTCAAATAAATAATGCATTTTCACTACAGATTCAAAACAGCCCAACCCTAACACCAGAACCCATAACCGAGTATCATGAAATTTACAAATTTGGAAAAGGTACCCTCATCAAAATAACTATGCACTCAGTTGAAGATTTTCAAAGAATTAAAACATTTTCACTATATTATCAAGACCATAAACTTGAGAACAGACTCAAGTCAAAGTTTTGATTTTGAATATCTTGAGTTTTATTTGGCATATGTGCATAAAAATTTGCAGGTTTGTATTATATTCAAGTTAAAACACATGATGAAATTTTGTTTTATTATCGAAATTATTTCAAAAATTATATTGATTTGAAATTTTGACTTAAGTGAATTGAACATATTTTATTGACAAAGTCAAAAGGATCGGACACAAGTTCAAAAACTTAGATAGTCTTCTCCTAATACAACATTTTGTAAAATTGCCAAAATAAAAAAACATATATACATATGGTCTACTACATATACATTGTAGCAATAGAAAGAAAAAAAAAGTTCTTTAAGTGTACATGTATAATTTGAATTGGTAAGAAGAATAACAAGATGTGTTTGTGAAACACTGATGCCCCCATATGGCAGCTTATGGCGAAGGTTAAAGTTTCTCAAATGCAAGTCAGAATCCAGGCCAAAAGATAAAAAATGTTAAATTTGAAAGCCCTAGCTGCAACTGTTCAAAAGTTATGGCGAAGGTTAAAGTTTTTTAAAAGTAAGTAAAACATCAAGGTCAAGGTCAAAGTTGTTGGTATCCAAAGGAAGGTCTTGTCACAAGGATTACATATGTAAAGTATGAAAGCCCTAGCACCAACCATTCAAAAGTTATGGCCAAGTTTAAAGTTTTTCAAAAGTAGGTCAAACTCCTATGTCAAGGTCAAAGGGTCAAAGTGGTTGGTATCCAAAGGAAGGTCTTGTCACAAGGATTACATATGTAAAGTATGAAAGCCTTAGCACCAACCATTCAAAAGTTATGGCCAAGTTTAAAGTTTTTCAAAAGTAGGTCAAACTCCTATGTCAAGGTCAAAGGGTCAAAGTGGTTGGTATCCAAAGGAAGGTCTTGTCACAAGGATTACATATGTGAAGTATGAAAGCCCTAGCACCAACCATTCAAAAATTATGGCCAAGGTTTAAGTTTTTCCAAAGTAGGTCAAACTCCTATGTCAAGGTCAAAGGGTCAAAGTAGTTGGTATTCAAAGAAAGGTGATGTCACAAGAATTACATATGTGAAGTATGAAAGCCCTAGCATCAACCATTCAAAAGTTATGGCCAAGGTTAAAGTTTTTCAAAATAGGTCAAACTCCTAGGTCAAGGTCAAAAGGTCAAAGTTGTTGGTATCCAAAGGAAGTAGATGTCACAAGGATTACATATGTGAAGTATGAAAGCCCTAGCTCTAACCATTCAAAAGTTATGGCCAAGGTTAAAGTTTTTCAAAAGTAGGTCAAACTTCTAGGTCAAGGTCAAAGGGTCAAAGAGGTTGATATCCAGAGGAAGGTCTTGTCACAAGGAATACACATGTAAAGTTTGAAACCCCAAGCACTAACTGTTCAAAATTTATGGCCAAGGTAAAGTTTTTCAAAAGTAGGTCAAACTCCATGGTCAAGGTCAAAAGGTCAAAGTTGTTGGTATCCAAAGGAAGGCCTTGTCACAAAGAATACACATGTGAAGTTTGAAACCCCAAGCACCAACTGTTCAGAAGTTATGGCCAAGGTTAAAGTCTCATAAAATTTTGCAAAAGTGGGTCAAACTCCAAGGTCAAGGTCAAAAGGTCAAATATGATGGTACCCAAAGAAAGGTCTTGTCACAAGGAATACACATGTGAAATATGAAAGTCATAGCTCCAACCAATCAAAAGTTATGGGCAAGGTTAAAGTTGACAACAGACAGACAGACAAACAGATAAACAGACAAACAGACAGACAGGACAAAAACAATATACCCCCGGGATCTTTCGATCCGTGGGCATAACAAAAGTAAGCTTATTTTGAAAAACGACCACATTCATTTAAGAAAGTTTGAATAGTCTTGAAAAGTTCAGCATTTTGTTCAATAGTAAGAGAATCATCGCCCCATAGCATTAAATGTACATCTATAACATATAAATAATTAAATGACAATAGCTTATTCATTAAGGAATTCCTTGCTTTTACATAATATTTACAAGCAAAAAACAAATGATATTCATCTTCTAGTAGTCCACAAGAACAATTAGGACTGGTTATTAGGTTACAGCGATATAAGTCAGAATTTAAAATACAATTATGTCTTAATCTTGTATGAATTATGTTCAAAAACCTTTTTCCATATGAAAAATATTTCTGAGGTTTTACAATACTGTTGTGCAGATAGTTTTTAAAAATTTTGATAGAAGTTGCCTCCCTTGTTTTAAGACTAAGGGAATTCCACTTTCTAACAGTATCAGGAATAAATGATTTATTATATAGTTCTAATCTGTATTTTGGCAGAGAATAATTTAAGGAATTCCTGGTAGTGTATCCTGACAATTTGCCTCTTGTATCAGGTACTAAATTTTGTAAATAATTAGGTACTAAATTAT